GGGCGTGCGGCGGGGCCGCTGCGGGCGCGTCCCGGCTGAGGGCTCGCGGTGGCCGCACGTGGGGGAGGAAAAAACGAGCCTTTGGCTTTGGCAGCGCGCTCAGAGCCTTTCCCTGACGGGATGCTTAGGAGGGGAGACCGGTCAGTGCATGGGTGTCACCGGCGGAGGCAGGTGCAGCGTTGGGAGAAACTCAGCCCGGCGCCTGGTCCTGGCTTGATACTTGTAGAGAAGGTGCTTGTTTGGGTACCTTTGGCTACTCACCCTCAGCTTGGGGGAAGCATGTGGATGTTTATTTTGGTGCTGAAGATCAGGTTAATGTCAAACGCAACAAATTCAAGCAAAATTAGCAGCCCCAAAATATCTATCTTTCTTTCTTGCAGTCATAAAATTGTTATAGTGAAACTCTTGTCTTCGTTGAAAGGCACGTTCATGACTTAACTTTATTAAGTGTAACGTTAAGAAGCTGCTTTGCTGCTTTTTATTCCCGGAGGCACTTGCCTTGCAAGCAGCAACCTCTGTGAGACGAAGCCATTGATTCCTGAGTGTCCAACGTTAAGCTGATACTGGCATTTCGTGATTGAACTTCACAGAGTGGGTATGGGGGGATATAGCGAAGTTTGCATGAATGGATTTAACTGTTATGTATGTGAATTGTGTTTCAAGTAAGGTTGTGGTGTTTGTGAGATACGGCCGCATTTCTGCAGTGATCTTTACATATTTGATAACTTGGTATTTTTTAGGTTGCAGGCAGGAGAAGGCTTTGTATGTGCAGAAATATTTTCCAATATATTGAGAGAGCTCACTGGAGGAATTTGAAATTTAAAACTTGATGCTTGACTTCCGGAGGAGATGCAGTGTGTCTTATGCATAAGTGGTTTTGTCGCTTTTGGGTTCAGATTATTTTAGATGTGTTGCTAAGAGATTAAAAGCAAAGTCATAGGTGCTTTTTATTTAAATGAAAAGACTTGGTTAAATCTGCTTTATTAAATGGGGAAAAAAATCCCCTGGAGCTCTGTTTCTAAACTAGCCAGTTGGTACAGAATTGCAGGAGTGTCATGTAGTATCTAAGAACAGCAAGATGACTAAAGGACTAAGAATCACATACTTTTCTTCTGTAAGAACCTGGGTGTGCTTGGGCCTGCTCTATTAAGTGTTTTTCATGATTATTCAAAAAACCTGTCGAATGTTGGTATTCATCTGGAAACACATTGTCATGGGCAGCTAACAGCTTAATGCCAACCTACAATCTGGTTCTGTGGGCAGAAGAGTTGGGTATTTAATAATTTAAGTACTGAGTCAATTGGAGTTGGTGTTTGTTGTCTTCAACAGTAAATGAAGCATTTCCCAGAATGCTTCACACTATCAGTGTGAGCTTCATTGCACTAATTAGAAAAGTAGACATCCTTTTTAGAAATCCCTCTTGAGAAAGTCAGTTTTAAACCCACTACCTTAAGTGGTATGAAGGCTGTAACAAAAAAGAACAAATTAGAAAAAATCCATACTTAAAGCCAACGTATAACCTGCTAACATTATGACATGATGCTTAGCACATTCTTTCACTTCCTATTTACCTTTACTGGATTGTGGTCTTCATAACAATAACAAGCATCTCTAGGAGTTTGTAGAAGAGAAGCAGTAAGCAGCCTGTCCAGTGACAAACCTGTTCAGCTGGTCCTCGTATGCCTCTTGCATCTTGCAGAAATCAGTCCTTATGCTTGTGCTAATAGTATTAGGTTAAGAAGCTCACAATCATGACAGAATTAAAACAATTTTATCCTGTAGATAGTAAAAAACTTACTTAAAATACTGCATGGGATTGCCCAGCTCTTACTATTTTTCATTAGTACCCATCTTTTTTATCTCTGCTGTTACTTTCTGTCTAGGCTGAAGGCATGGTCTTGTTGAGGGGACACAAACTTGTTGAAAACTGTTTTTTTCTTGAGTTGGCTTGAAAGATGGGAATGTCATATACGGCATTATGTGACACGGGCAGTGCTAGGCTGAGGCTGTAACCCTTGCTGGTCTGTCATCAGGGAGGAGATGCAGCTCTGTGTTGCAGAAGACTGGTGTCCTGCGTCACCTGCCAGGTCAGTCCATCATGGCAGCCTTTGCGGTTAGCAGAAAAAAATGGAAGTTAAAGAACTTTTCATTGCTCTTGTTGTTTTATTTGTTTGAAGTGCTGCATGAATTAGCAACAACGTTGTTCCGGGTTCTTGTTTTTCACATTTTCTTCTGGAATGTGGTTGTGATAGAAAGGAAGAGACTTTTACCCCTAGAGTGAGAAGTTTCTTGAAGAGTTCAGATTTCTGTTGTGCAAGTCTTCATGTGACAGTTTTTCTTTGCAGTTTTTTTTTAGTGTGCATATTGCTGTTCTTGTGAGGAAAAGACTATGTCCTTACCCTGGACATCTTTTATGGTCTAGATTGAGACTTGATAAGTCCTGAAAAATGCTAGGAAGGGAAAGTGTTAGAGTTGACAATTTTTTTTTTTTTTTTTTTTTTTTTTTTTGTCCAGTGAGGTTTCATGAGTCAGACTGGGCTGTTGGAAGTTTCTCCTGAAGATGTACATGTTGGTGGAAAACCGCACGAGTTCTTATCTTCATCTGAAGAGGTCACCTGGCATCCGATCATGGTCTCTCTTTGTTGGTAAGGCCATAATACTCCTCAGTTTGTTTCAGAGCTTGCTTTAAGGGAAGGAAGTCACAGAATAAATTCCTGAAAGAGCCTTTAATGAGAGATGGCTGCCTTTCAAGCATTTTTCCAAGAAGAGGAGTCGTCATGCTTTGAACTTCTCCTTTAGTGTAGCCACTAAATGAATGTGAAGTCTCCTCCTCAGTGTGGTAGTTTCACTTTGAGACTGATAAATTTTCAGTCTGTCATCTGCAGAAGCTCAGAGGGTCACAGATACAATTTTAAGGAGGTCCTGAAAGATCAAGAAAAATGTTTATTATATACCATATAGCAATATAAATATGAAGCTTTTGAAAGGGATGCATACTTACATTGAAAAACATATAGGTATTCAGAAACAGAAAAATCTGCAGTTGAGGGATGCTGGGGTTAGATCTTGTGTGTGGTTGACAGTGAACTCTTAACGGCATTGTGTGTATGCAATAGGAAGTCATACAGGATGTTCTGAAAGGTGTCTGTTTTTAAACACTACTGAATATGAAGAAAAAAAATGCAGTGGAACTTCTTAGGACCACGCTGAGAGAGCTGGTGGGGAAAACAGCATATCCTGCTTTCCAGCGGAGTAGATCCGGTTGCAGTAATGCTATAACCCTGTCATTGCTTTCAGTGATGTCTTGTCAAACTCTCACTGAGACAAGATCTGTGCGGTTGCAGCAGCCCTCTGGGGCTTGAGGCACTCTTTCGCTGCTTCCTCCTCAATGGGAGAAGGGAGCTGGCAGCTTCTGACACAACTTTATTGCAGAAGTTTTCTTTTTTAACTCCACAGAGCACTTAGAGGGGAAGAATAACCGTTGCAGTGTTTGTGTTAGCATGCCCGCAGTTGTACTGCACTTGAGAGGAAGTATAGTGTAATGGTTAAACTGAGAGTCCCTCTGAAGTTCTGTTCCTGATTCTGTCACGACCTTTTTATTTCTAACCTCAAGTCCCTGTGCTTTTACTGTCTCTGCAGAATGGGAGATTTTTTTTTTATACTGAGTGCAGAGAAGAAATAACTGACTTTCATATAGTGATCAATGTTGCAATCACATTTGTCCCTTTTTTGAAAAGTGATGAACTTGTGAATATTCATCTGTTATTCATCAGGGAATTTTAGATGGTTTGAGCTGTTTGTTCTAATTCTTTGCTCTCTCCTCCTAGGAATAGCCTCCATTGGTTTGGCTGCTGCTTACTATAGTGCAGGTAATGGCCTGTAATTTTTTTTAAGAATTGTTTGTTTCCTCTTCATCTGTTTTTCATGCTGATGACTCTTCTCTGCAGCTTCTGTCTGGCCATACAAAGTCAGTGTAGGTACCTATCACACTTTGTGGCATGAATATTAAAATCCAATCATAATTGTTGCCCGTGTATGACTTACTGTGCTTTAATGCTCTATTTCTTACTCAGCCTCCCTTTCCATTTGCAAGAGTAATTTTAATAATGATATTTAGTACTCTGTGGCATTTTGTACTTTCAGTGAGTTTTATAAATGTGATTAGCTGGTCCTCACAACTCTCCTGGGAAGACATATAATGATTGTTTGCCACCATAATGAAATGATTACCTTGCCTTTGATGGAAGTGCTCTGTTTCTCTGGAAACTGTTAAATCATCACTAGCAGAGATTACTCATAAAAACACCTTTAGAGAACAGACAGCTACTGCTGCTTCCTGCCCCTCTGCAATAGAGCAGACTGCACCAAATGCCAGGTGTCCTTCCATCTATAGAATTTATCCTGAAGGCTGTCCTGTGATTCTCCTGCTGCATCCTGTTAACATCAAATTTTAAAACTTAATAATGTGTAGGAATATGCTACCAATATAATCAATGTATTTTTATTTAGAGAGCAAAGTCCAGTGAAAGCTGCTTGAGACAGCAGCTGTATCAGCCTTTTTTTTTTTTTTTTTTTTTTTTTTTTTTTTTTTTTTTTTTTTTTTTTTTTTTTTGAGACATTGCAACAAAGTTTTCTGAAACAATACTGAGCACAGTTCTACTCTGCTTTTAGTAAAAGCCTGAGTAAGCAAATTGCTTAGGCAGCTGTATGTAAACATTTCCAGGACATAAAATGCAAATGTTTGTTTGTCAGGAGGGCTGACTGCTTCCTTTTATAAAGAAACATGTTTGCTTCAGTGAATTTCTATTGTCCCTCGCCCTTGTCCTCTGGAGCACAAATATTTGGTGGTTGAGAGCAGGTTGAGAGTTTTGTGGATGCCTTTCAAGATGCCTTTGCTTTTAGGGAAGAGGAACATGTGTAGTGATGTTATAACCTTGTCAATAATACATATGCTTACAATTCTGCATGGTTTGAAGCCCAGCATAGATGAAATATTTTAAAAATATGTGAGGAGTTTCTGTATTTTTATCCTGGGAGAGAGCTGTCAAATAGCTTGCATTACAATTAAGGGCAAAAATGTTGTATCAGAGAAACCTTTTTTCCTTTTGTTGCCTTTAAAGGGAGCATGTTGCTTTTAAAACTGTTTGAATAGCAAAGAAGGAAAAAAATCCCTAAAGTTGTCCCTTTTTTTTGCAGACAGCTTGGCATGGAAACTCTTCTATATGGCCGGGTGTTTCTTTGTGGCAGCGCAGAATCTGGAGCAGTGGGAGGTAGGATGCTGAAATTGGGAAATGAGGTCGTGCAAGTTCAGAAACAGTTGGCAGATGCTGACTCCAGCAGCCCCATGCACTTGCTCAGTCCAAACAGACAAGTTACACTTCTAGTAAACCCTTTGGAGTTGCTAGACTAGGACTAGAATAAGACAACAACTCTTTCACTACACAAACATGAAAACATGAAGCTAAACATAATGCTTTTAAGGGGACACTTGCCCCAAACTGTTTTGCAGCCTTTTCTTTTATATAAAAGAGGGAGAAAGAATAGCACATTCAGCTGCTACAACATGATTTTGTGCTTACCAGTACTTACATTCCAGCTAATGACAGAATGACCATTAAATAGGGTTAGGTCTAACCTTCCAGGCTACTCAGCTGTTTGCCACTGGGAAAAGAGTGGTGTTTGTGAAGCTGGTTTATAATCTTGTGGATGTTGGTTTGTTGGGAGTTGGACTGAGAGCAATAACCCTTTATACAGGCTTGTCACCAACCCAAGTTGTTATTAGAACAAGCAACCCACACATGTGAGACATCCTCTTTTCACTAACTGTCAGGGATATTTTAAATCTGGTATAAGCTTGGCCCATATAGCACAACACTGGAATTTTGGTGGAGTTAGTGACTTGTGTTAGTGAAAAGTGTAAATAGAACTTAGGTTGACTATATGCTTATACTGTAGGCCAAATGCATACACCAGTAATGAAAATTACAGGAGCTCCAAGGTACTGTTCAGATTTGATTCCATGCAGTTTTATTACACAAAGAATGTGGCAAGAGGGGCAATGAAACCACCTTTAACTCTTCCACCAGGAGATAGGATAAACTCTCTGTTTAAGCCAAGAGCAAGATTACGATTTTTCACACCCTAAAAATAGAGGAATGTCTCTAAAATAGCTATGTGTTTTCTCTGTTATCAAAATTATTTTCCCACATGATTATTTTTATTTTACTTTGAAGCGTAGCTATTGATGGTGTTTTTAAGAAAATGTTGATTTTTTTACTTTTCAATTTCACAGGAAGCTGTATTTGATAAGAACAAGGGAACAGTCTGCCTGAAGACATTCAATCTTTACAAAAAAATACTGACCTTCTCAAAAGGAGGCAATGAACAAGGTGAGACATAGGATCTGTGGTAGCAAATGTGGTGAGCAGACAGGAAATGCACACATTTGATAGGCTTCTCTGGAGTTCTGTATTCAAATTAGTCACATGTATGTCCAGATCTGCTTTGTTCCCAAGCAGCAGATGTAATAATCTGTCTTTCAGGATCCAAACATTTCTCCGGGTTAGGGTGCTGAATGCATCTTGTTAGTTATTTTAATCCAAGATAACGAAGCTTACACACTGCCATTCCTTTGGGATGTTAATATGCAGGTTTATATTTCCCTTGGCTAGCCTGCTTTGCAGGTGGAACTAGTGGAAAAACTTAAATTTTGGATCCAGGAGTTGAGATTTCTGTAAACTAATCTGGTTTTGGTATCAGGCAAATCTTTAGCTATCATATGCAAGCAGATGTGTTGTATCCTGCAGATATATAATATGCATTTAAGCCAGCATATTCAGTAGGCTCAGCTTAATGCAGTATCTCATTTCTTTTAAACTTTTATAGTATGTGACTTGCTTGAGTCACTGTGAGACAGGAGCTCCATTGCAAACTAAAAGTAGGATCCTCTTCAATGTCAGATTTTTAAAATTCTACTTGCTAGTCTAAATCATACCAAGTCTCAATATACTTCGAAAACTGACATTTGGAATGTTCTTAAGGCAAACTGATTTTTAAACAGTTCATTTTGGAGATGGAAGATAAGAGATGTGGAGAGAAGGAATTTAATGTTTCTGAACTTTTCTTTAGGGTATGTTTATATGTTGGAGCTGAGCACATCTCTTCCTGAGAGGTTACTTGGTAGTATCTGTTTCAGGTACTATTAATGTGGGGATGCAGAGATCAGCAGATATTCTGAACAGTTAAATCTTTCAGTATTTGTTCTATCTTGGTAAACAGGTATTAAGGTTACCTACTCTGTACTTTAGAAAAATAGTTAAAACTGTCATTAGAGTAAATGTGAAATATAAGCAATAAACTAATGGTGCCCAGTTCCTGAGAGGCAGTATATCTTGTTCGTGAGAGTCTATACCAGCTAACACGTGCTGCAGTCTCCTTTTGTTTGTTTTGCCTGAACAGCTCAGCAAATGTGTGCTATTGCAGGACTGCCCTGGTTGCACGGGATCAGAGCAATAGTCCTCGAGAGCACAGAGTCCCAGTCACACAAGTCACTAGTAGCAGTGCTGAGAGTTTAATGCTAATGGACTATTTTGTTTCCACATCTGTTTACAGTAGTGGCTCTACTGAACGAGATCCGAGATGTGAACGTGGAAGAGGAGACGGTGCGATACTTTGGGAAGGGTTACCTGGTTGTGCTACGATTTGTCACTGGATTTTCCCACCCACTGACTCAGAGTGCAGTGTTGGGCTGTAGAAGGTGCTGTGTGGACTTTTTTTTTCTTTTAATTAGAAGTGTAAGGTGGGAAATAACCAATCGTATGGGTCAGTAATTGCCAGCTGTTGAGACTCATCTTAACTCTGTTTTCATACGTGCTGATATGGTCTTGTGTTACTCAGTTTAACTTTTTTTAAAACCCTTTACTGCTTTCAGTTGCAGACATTTGGATAACATCATCTCCCATCAGGAGACTGCTCACATTTAGATATCCAAGATCCCTTTAGTGCCGCGTGTCTGCTGTAGTTACCTTCACTAGCTCAGCTGTGCAGTGGCAGAGGGGATTAATTCTATTTTGCAGACATACAGTGTATTTATCAGTTAACAGAGGATTTAGTTTAGGCATCAATAATAAGGAATCTTGCAGCAGGGACTATGGGAAAAGGATTGATTTGTTCTGATGTGGAAGTAATGGTTTGGCCTGATACACCTTCACAAGTGGGATGCTGTCAGTCATGCTCTATACCATATGTTGACTGGCCCTTCAAGTGGTTATTCTCAAAAATTAGTGTGCTTGTTCTTGTTTTGTCAACACCACAGTACCACTAACTCTGTTCTTCTTTTCCACAGTGATGTGGAAGCAGTTGCCAAACTCATTACTAGTTTTCTGGAACTGGACAGAGTAGAGAGCCAACAAGATCTCTCTCAGAGCAGCGAAACGGAGGCTAGCGATGCAGATGAACCACAGGATAAATATTAATAGTCATCATGAGCTGAAGAAAGCAGAGGTTTTCAAACATCTGGAAAATATACTGATGGTTCTTCAGAAAAAGAAATCCCTCACAGTCTTAACCTGGGCATTTCTCTACACTTGCATTTACAATGGGAGGAATCTCTCTTAGGGCACCTTTTTTAGTGCTAAACTGCTTCAAGATCCACACTCCCCGTATTGCTGTTGTAGAGTCCAAACCAAATTCTGTTTTGTTTGCTCCTTTGCCTTAGTTCCTCTATGTGGACACTGCTGGCTTTTGAACTTTGTCAGCTCATCATACTTGTCTAGAAATAGTTATTTATTAATGAATTAGTTTGAAATAATTTGTTGCTTTCCTGTTAATGGAGTGGAGGTACACCTGTAAACTTCCGCTTACTGCAAACATCTGCTGCAGGTACAGTGTATGAGATGTGGAAGAGCTGAATTTGTAACTCAAACACAGTGCATTGAGGTTTTTCTTGAAATCTCATAAATGACTGAATATATTGCTAAATTGGTTTTAAGCAGCTTGATCTATGCAGTTAGGTGATGCAGAACAGTGGCACTTACATATTCTCTACTACTGACTTGCCATTAGATACCAGTGGAAATTAAAGTTTGTGTGACTGTCTTGGAATTGGAAACACCAGGTTGATCAACTTGTTATATTGTTTTACTTTTCTTGAACTTGCCAAGGAGCCATAAATAGTAAAGAAAAATGATCACGATGATTCAACATTTTTGGGATATTTTAGCTTAATCCTTTTCTGCTTAAATTCTGGGCATAGACTACCCCAGGACAGAATAACCTTTTTCTAGACCTCAACATTTACTATTTTAACTGTGTATTTAGAAAGGAAAAAAAGCACATTGGTTACTTTAGGTAGGGAAAAGACTGATGTCAAACAACATGGTAGCCTAGATTTGTTTAGTATTTCCTCACTTGAAATGATACCGAAGTGCTAAGTAGTCTTTTTAAGATAGCTGGGATAAATTTGACGTGACCCATGTTTCACTCCAGGTGTGTAGTGTCCTCTATTCTGACCAATGATTTCATAGTTAAAATATGAATTTTCCAATATATTTTTGAAGGAAAAGCTACCTCTGTTAGTTAACGTGTTCCATCTGGAATTAAAACTTCATCATGCCTGTATTGACATTAGAGTTCACTAGGGGTTTTTCTTAGGAATTGTATGATCTTAGGAGCTGAATGAGAAAGTACTGACACAGTTACTCCTAGGAGATCTGAAGGGGGTACACGATAACTGTGTGGTCTGCTTTTATATTTGGCCAGCAGCAGATGTTTTCTGGCAGCAGTTTTCTCAGGACTTGAAGCTGCATTCTTGTTTCAAAGCACTCTACCTCTACAGAAAGCAAGCTATGAAAAGATCTCAGCAGAAGGTGTGTCCTGTTGTGTGTTCCAGCTATGTCTGAAACTAAGCACATGGTTATCTGACCAAAGAACGGGTACCAAGATTTCACTTCCAGCTATTTAGACCTAGTATGTGAGCTGAGACAGATGCTCTCACTGCTAGTTTGAAAGGGTAATCAAACTGTAATGGGGAGACAGCTGTTGGTGCAGCTTGACTGCAGCACAAAAGTGGGTCCATTTCTGTTAAATAGGAAAAGAAGTTTGTAATCACATTAGGTATCAAAGCAGACCTCTGCTGGTAAACATGCTTGTGAAGTCCTGTGAGTTGGTGGGCTAATCGTGTGGCTTTCAATCTGCCCCACATCACTGGAATTGGGAAGCTGCTGTGTGTGACTGTCAGAAAATTAGGTTGCAGACAATTAGCTAAATCTGACCTTTATTCTGAAGCACAGCTGTAAGCTAAGAATAATTGTCAAACCTGTTTAAAAAAAAATATTGCAGGGTGTAACACTTTGGAGAGTTAATTTAAATCCAGTGTAATATATGCCCTAGGTGTCACTTATTTTAGAGAGGGGAGAATGAGATTGGGAATTGGGAGAACTTTTTTTTTTTTTTTTAACCCCACCGTGTAAAATGAGAATGTCAAGTGTTCCAAGGACTTCCAGTAAAAAATACTGAAAAAACCCTTAACTATTTAGTGGTATAATGTAAGCAGAAGGGCTCAACCTGCAGATAACTGCTGCTTTGTAGCCAGGATATTCAAGAGTACATGGTATGGATGTGCATTGCATTTATATTCTGAGGAGTCCACAGATTTGACCATGGATGAAATGGACAAAGCTACCTGTGTTCAATCTTAGCTATACTGTGGGGTTTGGGTTTTTTTTTTGTTTCCATGAGAGCTAATATGCTGTGGACAATACAAACCATGCTGTGGTTTTCCAGTTAAATCAGCTTTGGAAAGGTACGTTTATTGATCTAACCCTACTCTGTATCATGTGCCCTGCTTCTGCTGAGCTGTCTAGCTTGTACATTCTTGATGTTAGTAATGTATATACTTATGGACTATGCACTATCATTATACAAAGGCTAAAACAATCCCTAGAATGCACATCCCTAGAAAGGAGAATGACCTATAGTAAGATATAAACCAGCTTGAAATACATTCTGTTGAGTAGGTTGCATTTTGAGTTGAAGTCCAGTGATCAGCTCTTTAAAGATGTTCATTAGTGTCCCCCTCACACCTCAGTACCCTACTGATGGTGGGTAGGAGAGGGCTGACTGGTGCATGCCATGTGCGTCAAGGAGAAGTTTTGACTCCTCAGCCGTTCACTTGGAACAGCTGGTGTAATCCTCTCCCTGTGCCATTTCCGTTTTGCATTTGGCAGCTCTGTTGCCATCCAGACGAGTACAGTTTCAAATGGGAACCTGAATTCCGTAGGCTGAGCTACGTGAAGCGGGACTGAATAAATTTTTCCAATGCTGCAGGCTCTGCCTGCAGGCCATATGTTGGGCACTGCTGGCTGGTATGGACAGCCGAGAGCTGCGTCTGATGCTGACCTACAGTGCAGGCAGAGGATGTCTGGCCTTGGCAGTTGGATGCTGCACACGAACGTGTATCACAGGCTGATGTGTATTACCCTTGATCCAGGTTTTGGGCTTCCTGTCTTCAAAAACTGTTTGTCTTTTGTACTTGGACGATACAGCCAGACTTTTCATGTTTTGCAGTAACTGTGCATGGAAAATTAACTTGCAAATTGTTGTGAACATGGATTTGGTTATGGCTATGTCTGTGGACTCCTCAGCGATGTGATTCAGCTTGAAGGAACTGTCTAGAACAGCAGGTTCTAACCTGGGACAGGTTCTGCTCTTCCCTCTTGCCACTAGTCCTCTCATCCTCTTCCTGCCACTTTTCACCATTTTGCTGAAGAATTTTTTTGTATGGTTTTCCTCACTTCTCTTGGACCTAGCATACTGAAAAGGCCCAGTAAATGTAGTCTTATGTGTGCCTGATGTAAAGTGGCTTGTATTAAAAGGAATGATGTGAAATACTCCTAGAGGAGTATTACAGGTGAATTTGTGAGTTTTTGCATCTCAGGCTGTCTAGTAACTTGAGACTAGACAGATGTAGTTTGACTTACAAATGATTTGAAAACTTGTGTAAAAGATCTTTAGGTAGATGTAACTCCTGCTCCATAAAGCCAGTGCTTTCTATTGTGTCCTTTAATATAAGTGTATCATAAATGCCATTTGGCAGATGCTTCAGCTTAAAACTTGAGCAGCACATCTGAACTTACCCGCACGTGTGTGGCTGGACAGGTTCACAGCCTTAGCTGTCACACTGAACCAGGCTGCATGTTGTACAAAGTGAGAAAGTTGTATCATCTCAGCTACAATCTAAATTTCTGATGTTTTACAGAATAAGATACTCCAGTAACAAGGATCAATTGTGCAAGTCTCAAAGAAAATGCAAACATGTGTACCATATAGCTGAGATTGACTCTTGTGCTGTATTTATGACGTTACACAGATACCAAAAACTAAGCTGGTTTACATAGTAAAGAGTGCTGGTTCTGACACTGTAGTAGATTGCCGAGATGCAAAAATACTTCCAGAAAATGTTTAGAAATCGCTTTTCTACTTTAAAACTGCAAGTAGACTTTTCAGCAAGGCCTTGTATATTGTCTTTTTAAAACAAGTCCATTGATAAAATCAACTTTGATAATTTGTTTTGTGTCACTAGTATTTTATTTTTCATTAAAATGTATTAAACTATATTGATGGTTGTGTGAATCACCATTTGGCACAGACCTACTTGAAGGAGTTAATGGGGAGAGGACAGAGTCCAGGAAGCCCAAGTACCCAGCTCTTTACTGACCCTGCTTTCACTTTTACAGCAGTCCACTCTCAATTTCATAGAAGCCAATATAACCAACTCTATGGGTGAACATATTTCCATTTTTCCCCCTTTAAACCAAACCAACATACCAGGTGCAAAACAAAGGCAAATTTCTATAAACATTTTGAGTAGCAAAGGATTTATTAAAGTAAAATAAATTAAGATCTTTTTTAGTTCAAGGTATGTGACTTTTGTAGTTACGGTATACATAGCAATTGATTCTTTTTAAATAAAAACCCACATGTGGACCTAACTCCTCTAGCTCTTATTAAATAAGTTAAAGATTTGTCTTATGCTGTACTTAGTGTACTTTCTGTATCTAGAGCTATACTGTTTATAATAGACTGTTCCAAGAAAATTTCAATACCTGTGCTTCCAAAGTAAGACTTTCAAGAAACCAACAAAGGAAGTAAACAAGTAAAGAGTATTTTGAATATTCATGGTAGTGTAGTTAACTACCAGAGTTTTGAATTATTTTCCCTTGTGATTATCTTAATGCTCCAGTTATGTCCACAAAATATATTGCTATACTTTATTTAATAAAATTCAACATTAGAGCAGAATAAAACTTTTTTCCCACATACTCAGTAGACTTAAGTTTTGCTCCAAATTTGGATGAACCTGCAGTCTCAGGTCTTACATAGCAAAGTAGGTGCCTTAAAGTGACTGGGATGGTGCTTTTCTGTGGGGATAAAACTATGCTTAGCTTAGATGATGCTTTGGTAAAAGGTCAAGCCCGATGTGTTAAGGCAGCTTTACCTACATGTCCAAGTGTCACCTTCATTATTGGTAAGAAGCTCCTTTTCTGGAGCTCCCTCTTGCTCTGTACATGTTCTTTAATACATCTGCTGTAACCTCATGAGCAGCTAGACAGCAGTTCTTGCTCAGGCTTCTGCAAAAAGCTGGATGCTAATTTCCTGTCCTCAGGCTAATCAGAACTGGATTTAAGACCAATGGTTTTACAGACTTCAAGGACTGAAAAAGTCCAAAATCTGGAACAAATTAACTGCTCTATGCTGTGGCAGGACTTGTCATGATGGAACAGCAGGACATCTCCCTAAACAGTTGAAAGATGTAGGAGTCACAGTACAGAACATACAGACCTAAAGCATGTTTAAAGTATCCTAAATCTTTCTTTTTATGGAAATTGTAGAGGGAGGACATGTTGGTTACTGACTAGAGTAGAATTTGTAGAACTTTTCCAGGCCATTGTTATATAAGAAAGTCTATTACTACAAATAATGAATTTGGAAGAAAATGCTTTTTTCTCCTGCCTTGTAATATAGCTGAATTCTGACTCATTCTGCATTCTGTTATGCAAGGGGAGCATGTTTGACTTACAGGGCCAGTGATTTAAGACTCAGCAATGTGTTAAAACAGAAAATTAAAATAGAGTTGAAGCTTATTAGACTAATAAAATCCTTTATGCCTTCAGGTCACTTTTGTTTAATCACAGTTCTTGCGTCAACTCTCAAGATGACAAACTCTAGCTCTAGGACTGGTTGCTGATTTCAACTAGCCCTGTTTTCCCACGGGTTAAGACAGGCTAATTGAAATGCCCCTAATTTTGTGCTTTTATTGCTTTATCTAAATCATCCACTACTTGCTGCAGCTTCTGTAGGCTGGGGTGGACGTTCTCCTCCATCCACTCCTCTACAGTACACTTGTGGAAAACTTGTTCCATGGCTGCTTGGAGGTCTTGCACCACAGCATTCCACTTGGAGAGGAGACTAAGCAGAAATCAGAAGGAAGAAACAATCACATTTGCAGGTGAGCTCTGCCTCAAGGGAGGGCTAGCTTACTGGGCATTTTAAAGGGAGTAGTCTTTAAAATGGCTTTACAGGAAAAGAAGCCAAGAGCTCAAAGGACCTGAAACTGTGCAGATGGCAAAAGGTTGATGTTGTTTGTGTTTCAGTGCCATTAATCTCGGCACTTCTCTTACACAATGACTTTTAAAGTACTGAAATGTGCTCAAAAAACCCACTATACACAACTGAAGTGTAACTGAAACCCACTGTGAGACTTGTTGGGAATTTAGTTATGGTTTTTATCAGGAAGAGGAGATGCAGTTGGATATTCACCTCATCACAGCAAAAAGTGTATAAATTAGCCATTTAGCATGAATTGGCATAATGTCTAGGATAAGTTCTGAAAAGCACATGGTGACAGGCAACAGGGGAAAGGGGTCTGGTTTTATTCCAAGCCCTGCCTGGAACCTGATCTGTGGCGAGCTCCGCTGAGGCTAACAACTGCTGTAAGATGCAGGTCTGCAAGGGAGTAACTCCAACACAAGGCAGAGTTTTTTTGGAGAACAGTTTTATACTTGTATTCAAAGAATTTGTTCAACAGAAGGCAGATAAACATGTTATTCTGTTTAAGACCATATTATGAATACTTCCTATTGTTTGATTTCCACTGATGCTTCCAAAATAATTACAGAAAGAGGCAATGACTCAAAACTGAATGTATTTGAGTGTCCAAAATATGACAGACTTTATTTCCCCTGTAATGCAAAATAAGTGGCATTACCTTACTGCATCTGGCTGGAAGTGATGCATTATTATGGGATGAATAATCCTCCTTTTTCTGTGGTAGGGGCTGAACCAGCCTGTGACATATCTGAAAATGGATGTCAGTATCAGCAGTTTTTGAAACAGCAGTGACATACGTGTTTGTAGGCTGACAGGGAGGTGACAGGACTTTAGCTGAACTTTTGCATAAACAGAGATAGTGCTTAAGAAATAAGTAAATTTATGGCTATGTATGTTTGGAACTAGCTTATAAAGACTGTTCCTAGCAGTTGAGAATAACTGATCATCTGCTGCAGTTTAAGTTTCATGTCAAGCTCCTTTTTTTGTAAGCACACCATTAAAAAAAAATCATTTTAACTTTAAACAACAGTAAGATTTAATTCAGGAAAGAGCTAGATTCCTGAAATAAGGCATCACATAGTATTTAGGAATTCTGCTAAAATACTTTAAATTTGCATCTAAATTTTATGTTCTGCTGAAGTGTCAATATATAGGGATGTGATGCCTGAAACACAGAGCCTGATGTTTAAAACACTTTTATGCCCCATTTTGACATGACACAGCTCCAACACTCCTGCAGACAGCCACAGAATCAACATAAACCTTGTTACCTGTTCCTTTCAAGAAGTTCATCCACTGATGACTTGAGGTAGAAACTAACTTGCGTCACAAGTGTAAGGATATTGCTCCCAGGAAAGGTCCCCAGGACTGTGCTGTCCAAAGAGGCTCTGTTAGTTTCTGAACTTACCATGCATCGAGAAGCATCTGAATTTTGCAGCTGGAATTTTACCTCACGAAAGTATCAGTTTCCAGGTTGGACATTCCCAGGAGCTTTTCCACGTTTTCTTTAATCTTTTCAGAATAGCCACCTGGCAGAAGACAGTGGAAATAAGGAGCCTAAATATCCAAAATGTTCATAAAAGAGGGCTTTTCTGGAGTACTCTGCATTGGCTTAGTAGTTCTCCTTGGATGAAGATTTTTTTAAAAGGTAAAATGGAAATAGAACAAGGAAAAAAGTCTGGGGATGGGAGGAGTCCATTGTCTTTCATACAATTGTCTTGTGCTAGGTAAAGCACTTCCTAGATATGAGCTTTCCATTCAGGGTGCTGAATATTTTTAGTGCTTTAGTTGAAAACAAGTAGGTTGTGGGGTTTTTATTTTGAAAATAAGAAATACAGAAAGACAAAAATTCTGTTGGCAACTGCCTGTAAAGAAACCAGAAGCTACAAGAAGTATTTTACCAGACAGTGTACTTCCTAGATCAATATTAAGAAATTAATTAGTTAAAACAACTTTCACATGTAAACAAGATCTAAATCTAAATTAAATCAGTCTCATTTATACACCAGTAGTGTTTCAAATCAATTCCAAAAGCAAATCATATTAATTTTTTTTTTAATAACCATGAAGAAGTTTGTGACCATTTGAACACAGTAAATTATTAGTATACTATGGCTATTTTAAAATACTTAAGCCAAGAGGCTTCTCTGCTTCTGTATTCCAAACGCACAATATGTGTAACTTCTTGTTCCTAATTCAGACCATGATCAGATAGTCAAACCACCTCAAAATATAATAAGCCTATGCCAACCTTAGGGCAAGGTCACTTCATTCTTGTGCTAGGCATTAGATGAGAGAGAATAAAGTTGTCATTGTACCATTCTTTAGTGCCTGCAGACATACAGCCAATGACGGAATCGCCACAGGAAGCAGCTCACATAAAACAGAGAAGTGATCATACCTAAATAACAAAACAATCATTAATTAGACATTTTACCATTAGAACATACTAGACAAGTGGGAAGTTTTAATATTTCAATCACTAAAATTCAACGAGCTTTAGAAACATCAAGTTTCTGTCTCAGAGAAGGGACCTTCTATCTCTGAAACACTAAGCATTCCTGTTTTACTAATAAGAACAGATACAAACCAAATTACTTTAAGCAAATTAGGGTCAGAAATTGGAATTCAGCTATCTGGTATTCCCTTAGACCTCCTGACTATTGCATAAAAACCTTTTACTCCTTCATTAACATTTTCCCTCTTATGCAACTTCATTCTATTTGAATTCACATCAGACACTGAGATACACACTACGCATTAACTATGCTCTCTATAAGCAGTTCGAGGTGGCACAAAGTACATTCAAGCCTTCAAATCCAGTCTGCTGTGTTTGCCAAAACAATTGCTCCTGCTGATTAATGCTGTAGCAGTTGACTGGAACTCTGAAATCCACCCTTTGTAGTCAGTGGGTGCAGCCCAGCAGTAACCAACAGGAAGGGCTGCAGGGTTGCACAGTTCCCGTTAAATCCCCAGCCTGCTTGTACCTCCTGGGGAGTTTTTGGGTGGAAGTTTGCTTCCATGTGATCCCTGGAACCATCTAAAAGGATGTTCCTTACCTTTGCCAGCCGGTCAGCGCGATACCTTCAAGGACATCAGCAGGGCTATTGCTTGCCACTTCCAGCCACTGAAGATGGTTTTTTAAGTGGTGTCCAATAAGTGTTAGAGATTGATTCACTCCTGTAGCTCCTTTAAAAGCACTAGCAAACCACACCTTGGAGAAGCCACATCTACGGTACTTCTCTATGAGACGCACTGCAGTAAGACACAAAAGAATGTTTACAGGACAAGTTCTTCTCTATTTTCATCCTTGACTGTAATACTCCAATTAGGAGGAAGCCAGGTCTGCTTACAGCAGGCTGCTGAGCCTTGTCCCACCAAGTTTTGAGCATCAGTAAGAGTGTGAGATTTGACATTCTCTCTGAGTAACCCATTTTGGTGACTGCCCTCCTATTTTCATGTGCCCAGTCTGTCTTCCATTCACCTGAATTGCTAAATTGCTTCAATGCTAAGGCATGTAACAAGCATGCTCAACATCTGACAACTGATTCTTCTTTCAGCAATGAAATATTTGTATGCATGTTAGATGCCTGATGTAAGAATTTTTCTTTTGATTTCTATATATGTATGAAGCCTTGAAGCTTCTTTTGCAGAGCTGTTCAGTACAGAGCTATCTACTTCCACTGGTTTTAATGCAAGCAGAGTTAATGTAACAGTGCTTCTGAAAAACCTCTCAGCCTCTCACCAGTGATTCCATAGCCCTGTTGAACAGAACTAAGCAACAGACAATGCAAGTCCTTCATAGGCGAAGCATAAATAGAAAAAGAAAATAAGTGATAGCAACTCTTATTTGAGATCAAACAAGGGCTATGTTTATGCTCTTAAAGCAACAAAAAGCAATTTAACAACAATAAAATTTTTTGGTGTGCAACTAAGGCATGTTTTAATCATACTATCGTGGTATGGCTGTTTTGCTTAACAGGTAACAGAGCTCTTTGCTTCGCCTAAGCAGCTCAGCAGAGAAGTACAAACCTTTGCCCTCCACGTCGAGGTCTGCTGCATAGTCCCAGATCATTGGCTGCACAAGCTGTGGGACCCCAGACTCTGAAAGGAAAGGGTTCTTCTAAGTAATGGAAAACAACCAGTTAAAAGTGAGAACGAGATACATATTGTTGGTGCAGTAGCACGTGACTAGAACTAACTCTGACTTGTCACTAGAATTCTGCATTTATAGTTGAAGTATCCCTGGGGATTTTCAACCTGGTCAAGGGCTTTGAACATGTGGGTTCACGTGCCAGGGGCCACTAAATCCTTAGACATCTTGAAACCACTAACAGAGATCAGCAGTGACAATTCATCAGAGATCCCATTCATGCCAAGCCCATCTCAGTCCCCTGAATCTATCAGTATACCTACTGGCTTCAAGTGGCAGAGCTGCAAACTACACACAAGACTTCAGCTAAATTCAAAGGAAATACCCTTGAAGCTGGAGATTGTCTGAGCTGTGCTTGCACAGAACTTAGCTTTTCAAGATGCCTTTAAAGTTCAAATAAAGATAGAGGTTTATCTTCAAATCCCTTCATAATCAACTCCCTGACTAGTTTTAAACATGAGAAACCTAACCCTAGAGAAACTGCAGTAAATTGTACAGAAATTTTGTAACAGCATCCCATTTCAATTTGTTTAGCGTGTTATTGCCTGTGGCAGTAGAGTGCACTTAGCTAGATGCTGTGCTGCTCTTGTGGATGCAGATGGGTCCAATCTGCATTTTTTTTTTATAATTTCCTACTACTAAAGCCATGAACAGGTCAGTCACTGCTGGAGGAGCTACAGAGCTCTTCATGGTATTGGCTAAATCTGCTTAGAACAGACACATAAGGTAGCTTGAAAATTCTGGAACTCTCTTTATGCTAGGACTACTCAACTTTTAGCAGTGGTTTCATGTTTTTCAACAAATAAGACTCATGATGTCACGGTGTTGGAGCTACCCCACAATTCAGTATCAGAGTTCCTCATGACGTGCACTATGATCACATGTCCTGTCAAAGATGCTCACAGGGTTGCAGCTTCTCTGTGTGAGTCTGCACCATTGAAGCCAGATGCTGCACAGAGCAACAACTAACATTAAAAGGTGGTGAGAGGCATAGAAATTTAGACTGAGACTATAAATGCTAATAGGTTTGGGGTTTTTAATGTGTAAAGAAAATGGAATTGATGGCAACCACTGCATGATGACTGTTTTGTTTGTCACTGTGTATGACCAGATGGAAAACTAAAGTATATGTGTTGAGACTTGCCCACACTCATACAAAAAGTCTGTGACATAGCCAAGGACTAAAACTCTAGTCTAATGGATCACATCTCAACTGTTCTCAGATTTCTTGTTTTCATTATTTGCATCTGCCAACAAATCTGTTTTAAGTGGTTCTGTAAACTTTTCCGTATGCTACAAAATATGATTTACCCCATCATTGGTCACACACCTGCCAGTGTTTCCTCACTCATCCCTCTGAGCATATCATCCCACACGATGGGTGTCACAGTGGGGTAAGACAAGGCCACACAACTTGCAACTGCTTTTATGTGGGATAAACACAGCTTCTCTGGGGTGTTATCTTGTTGCTGCAGCCACTGCTTTGACTCCTCTCCTTCACCAAGGTAGTAGACCTGAAACATCAAATAATCCTGATTTCTTTTACAGGAATAGGGGGAATGAGTTTGATACAGTGTAATGAAATCATACAATATTCAAAACTTATTGCAAAGACATGACACACTGAGTGGACATATTCAAATGCACCTCCCAGTTCAAAGACACTGCAAGCATTTCTATCAGTCTGCAGGAGACTGTGGCCCTGACTAAATGCATCACATAGAAGAATTCTCTATGAACTAAACTAACTAAAGAATAATTAAAGCATGCTCTATTTGCCTTTGGAAGGTTTTTTCTTGGAAGTAGCTCTCACCAGTTTTACTCAGTTCAAATCTAGCAACCCATAAGGTTCTGAGTTATATCCCCATCTTGGGGAAGGAGATCATTTGTATGTGAATCTAGAAATGACTTGGGGACATGTGCAAGTATGGCCCCAGCACACTTGATCCTATGCAGAGAGTGGATCTGGGCCTGTTAAGCTGGATATGCATTTAAACTCTGTTGTTTTAGCACAGGTTTTATCTAAAACACGTTTATTCTACATGACCAGTAATTTGCTTTATAAAAACTTCCAGGTCACCATCTAACCTTGCCATTTGTTCCCAAACAACAGGATTCAAAATGCTAAACTATCAGTACCGTTAAGTGTGATCACAATGAATTTCAGGGATCTGCATGCCATAGGGATGGTCTAAGAAGCCCTGAGAAAGGAGAAAACTCAAGGTTTTCCTCCTCAAGGAGACAAACTACCAAGAGATTAAAAAACCCCCAATAAACACTTCCCATCACAAAAGGGCTTACTTTGAATAAGTTGGCCAGAACAATGAGCCAACATCTTACATCAAAACTCACATGATTCTTAATGAAGACCTCTAACTGATATCTCGCTTCAAATACTCATTTTATCTAAAACCAAATGCCAAGTTAGCTTTAAGTGCTTTCAATATTACACTCGGATCAATAAATGACATCCCACGCTACTGAAATAATTTATAGTCAAAATGACTTTTCACACTGGCTTGAACTGGTGCTTTCCATCCCCCAATTCCCACCCAAACGTGGCCTGGGTACCACTGAAATGTGGAAGCCTTGGCCCTTACCATCATTTCTCACAGGACAAGAGTTCCTGGCTCAAGAGAAGTCCTACCTCATCACATCCAATGTGAAACCATTTTAAGTCTTCATGCAGTGCCATAACTTGGTCAATCATTGCTCTGACCAGTGCCCGCGACTCCTCCTTGTGTGGGTTGAGGGCATTGGGAAACGCCTTTACCTCCCGGAGATGAGCAAACTCTTTGTGCTTCAGAACGAACTGCAAGAGAAAGGAGAGCTTGGGGAAGAACTGCAAAATGAAGGGGACAGCGGTGTCCTCCTGCGTCACCAGGGCTCTGCTAATGGTTGTCCTGCTAAAACCTGGGTTTCAGCTGGGTGAGAGCACAGGGGACAGCACGAGGCCTCTCGCCAGGGGTGGTACAGCCAGGAGGGGCACGGCTGCAGCTCCACGGTGCTGTGGGTGTCCCCGACCACGAGTCACCTCACAGGGTGAGGGAAACCGGGCAGTCAGAGCAGCATCACCCTGGTGTCTGGAGCGTGCAGCTGACAGGAGCCGGATAACCAGAGTACCAGGAGTTAGGACAGAGATTTTCCAGCAAAGCCACCCCCAGGCCGCCACCCTCGCTGACCCAACCCAGCGCTCCCAGGCGTCGAACGCACGACGCTGCCCGCCCGCAGCTCACCTCCATGTGCCCGAAGGTCTGCACCAGCGGCACCACCTCCAGCCCCTGCGCCCTCGCCTGGCTCAGCACCGCCCTCACCTCCCCGGGGCTGCGGGGCAGAG